CCTCAGCACTGCTGCTCTCAGCGGCCTTCTCAGACGAGCTGCTAGACTCTACACTGCTGCTCTCAACGGCCTTCTCAGACGAGCTTATGCCCTCAACACTGCTGCTCTCAGCAGCCTTCTCCGACGAACTGCTAGCCTCAGCGCTGCTGCTCTCAGCGGGCTTGTTAGACGAGCTGCTAGACTCTACACTGCTGCTCTCAACGGCCTTCTCAGACGAACTTATGCCCTCAACACTGCTTCTTTCAGCGGCCTTCTCCGACGAACTGCTAGCCTCAGCGATGCTGCTCTCAGCGGGTTTCTCAGACGAGGTGAGAAGCGAATTATCAGCGAAGTCAGTTTTGTCAGGTCCATTTTCTAGTTCGATGGCAGCAATGTGCGAGCGTGGGTGTGTGGTGATTTCAGTGCGGTCATTGTGTTCCGCCTGTGGGGTGTTTAATAGCTGGTGATCGATAGATGGATAATATACTTCTGTTTTTAATTTGTTTTGGGAGAGGTGGTTTTGTTTTTCGTACTTAATGGCACTTTTTTCTACAGGTTTGGAAATATGTGGTGGAAAGGAATATTTTTCCCCGACACCACCGTCCTTTTTTGGCGGTGGTGGTTGTGTGGAGTATGTGGACCATTCGTTTGGTTGTGTTTCGGTAAACGCATTGGCCGGGGTTGCCCTCGCACATATTAGTACGAGGACAAGAGCACACGTGATGTACCTAACCCCCATTGAGGTGTAGGCGATTTGTGGAGGGCTGTGTAACGTTGCCTCTATCATTTTAAGAAACAAGAAAAGAAGGCAAAGGAAGGAAAAGGGTTTGAAATAAAAATAATTTTTTTGGGTGTTTTGGAATGTATAACCAGAAAGCGTACAATGCTTCTTCCTTAAGTATCCAAGGATGTCAAAATAGGTTTAATGGTATTTATTTACACTTGACGCTGCGTGGCTCGTTTCTTTTGCACGTGTGGCAGGACCGCTTGCCGAGACCACATTGCTGTCGTCATAGCAGGCAGCATTCTGACGGCACGGATGCAGACATCAATTGTTGCTGTCAAAGAAATAAGAATTGGGCTGCACATTCAGGGTGTTGGCAGCCGCCCGATCCACCACTATTTCCTCTCATTGTCCACCAAATGACATCCTCAAAGCACGACAACTACAATGGATGGGTATGGCAATGAGCACCTCGTGGGGAGCACCATGCAGCTGGCAGCCAAGTTTCATGTAGACGAACGCATCCAATGAGGCAATAGTGTCGGAGAAGTTGTGACCCATATTCCCTCTTTTAAGCACAAACCACGGAGGTGTCAGTAATTCCCCTTCGCAAGAGGCTTCCGGGAACACACGATAACAGAATAATTCCCTTGTATGACTT